GACTAGATGACCTCTTGAGGTCCCTTCCAGTCCTATGATTCTAATTTCCATATCCACTATGGTTAACTGATAGTTCATGGAATTCAAATAACGGACTGTGTGCAAGGTGTTGTAATGATTTAGAAATAGGCAAAATAGTCATCCTAGATATTGGAAGTGAGAGATAAGTGCAATTAATTGCTATTGGAACTGTGGTCTAAATCCTCCTATGCTGGAGTCAGAAAATGGGTTGGTTTTATGCGAATACAGTATGTCCACCCTTTCTGCTAGTTTTGCTTATGAAGTAGTGGTATAGGAATGATTAACATCAGGGTCTAAAGTAAGCCTCCTAACAAGCAACTGAGAAGGTCTCACTTTAATTCTGGCATATGATAGTGTTGCCTTACAGGCAGTGTGCAATGTCTGCATCAGGTCACATATCCAGATTTGGAGCTGGATAAACTAGAACATTGGTTTATCAACAACCATTATAGAAGCCAATCTTGTGTTTACCATTAAAAAGTCTGAATCTTCCAGCACTAACCACGCAATGTTATGCAATTACCACAGTTTTTCCTTAAGCTTAGAATAGGATATGTCTGTGGTAACTTATAATAGTTGCCAGAGGTTGACTTGATAATGGCTTCTACTTTCGAATATTATAAACATTCTTAAAGGCCCTGACTAAGGACTGGTACACACCTAAAACTTAAGCTGACCTGGTTATGTTACCGAGGGCTGTGAAACATTTTGTGCCCTCTGCAATGCAATTAGATCGACCTACCTCACACAGTAGATGCAGCTACTTAGAATTTGTCTATCAACCTGGCTACTGCCTCTCAAGGGGATGGATTTACTACAGAGATGGAGAAACCCTTTCCATCTCTATAGCAAGCATCTACACTATAGTGTTATGGCGGTGTAGCTGCAGTGCCTCTTGTAGTGTAGACATACCCTCAGGTGATTAAGCAAGTGCCTAACTTTGAGCGTGTGAGTAGTTTTTGGCAATATTCTTGATGAGTCCACTGGAGGTACTGGCTGTCCAATATGATGATTAGAGCTGGCTGGAAAAAAATATAATTCCCATGGGGGGAAAATTGAATTTTTTGGGAAAAAATTAATTGCAAATCAGAAGAAAAATTCAAAAATTTGAATTTTTTCATAGGAGCTAAATTCTAAAAAAAAAAAAATTGTTTTGGGAGAGCCAAAACAGATTTTTTCATCCTGCTCCTAGGGGCTATCCAACTCCCCAGGGAGAGTCATACTGACTAGGTAGTTGGGGCGCTAAGAAGCCTGGGCTCTCTGGTAACCCGTCACATAGGCCACCAAAGAGCTGAGGGTTTGCAAGCCCTGGGACCTTGACTCCCCAGCAACCTGTTAGACAGGCTACTGAGGAGTTGGGGAGTCCAAGGAGGCAGACAGGCAAACAGGCAGAAAAACTGCCTATCTGCCTGGTTTCTGTCAAGTTTTGACTGAATCTGCACATTCCCATGGAATGTTTTGATTTCATTGAATCAGCATTTCTGATGGAAAACCAACCAATGCTTGCTGTGATCAGTGACATAATTCTGTCTTTACATAAACAGCTTTATTTTACATCTATAAATACCACTTGCACTTTGCACTCTCATGAGTGTCTAATTAACATGCTAAGTGCACTTAAGCACAGTTTGCATGCCAAGAAATGAATCCAGCTGCTGACGCTTTTTTATGTAAGACTCTTATTATCATCAGTTTGGCAGAGGAATTTTAATGCAAGATAATACCTTATAGCAAAAGCTTGCCAAAATAAGGCCCTGGAAGGGAATATTGTTCATTTAAACTGAAAATTATTTTCAGCTCAGTAATAGCCTGCTCTTGCTCCCATTGAAATCAAGAGCAGAATTCCCATTGACGTCAACTGAAGCAGGATTGGTCCTTAAATCTGGAGGGCATAGTTAAATTTGATACATTAATGACACATTAAACACATCAGTAAAACCCTCTAAGTGCCTTAATTTAAGGAAAGGTGCAGTAACAGATTATCTTGCACCTTTAGTCAAACATAATGGAAAAAAGTAGTCATTAACCATTATCAGCTCTTCTCTGTCATGTCATGGTGTACTGGTAAAATTTAGGGGGAAATGTGAAGATAAGAAATTGTCTTCTAAAATAAGGCCTTTGCTCTTAATTAGGTCTGTAGTCAGTATAATTTTTTAGTTCCAATCTGTAGTTTGAAGTAGCAAACTTTATGGGTTCAGAAAAAAAGCCCCTTCCCTCTCTTCCCTCCTCCACCTTCAGTTGCCAAGGAAAAGTTGTTTTGAGCTCTGGTAGTGCTCCATTAAGAATGTTATCTACCATATTAGTACTACAGTATATAAAGCTGGTATAATAAAAAAAAAAGACTGAAGTCCATTCTCCATCACTTCACCTAGAAATAGTCTGAATTATAGCAAGTTTTTATTTTAATTAACAGCATCCCAGTAAAAATATTTTGGCATCCTGCAGTGTGTGTTTGGAAATTACTTTTGATTCACCAGACCTACAAATTTTTGTAAAATAGTTATGACATTTATTGACAAAAGAAGGATGAATATTTAAGAATGTTGTTCCTAAATATTTATTTTCCTTTCCATTTACAACATTAAATTATGCACTTAACTTTAACTTGCATTACAGCCACAGTTTTTGTCAGAACTCAGTGATAGAATTGTGTATGTTGTCTAAAATATACATTTTCATGTATTATTTATAAAAAGGATTTGCGGTAACAGTGCAACATTTGCTTTACCCATCTCACTGATTTTTTTAAAATGCTGTGTGCACTTCCGGAACAAGTCTGAGTTTGTACAAAGTGAAAGGCTGAAAGTGGTGGCTGTATTTTATAATGATTTTGTGCCTGATTCAAGATGTTTAAGTTTGTAGTCACTGATTTCCTCCCCCCTCCCGCTCAGTGTTGGCAGCATTGTCAAATGGTTTCCCTTATTAGAATTGAGGCACAGCCTCTAGTGTTGCATGAGGCTTCATGAGCTGAGAAAAAAATGGGAAATAGCACATTATATTATAAAGATTATGGCAGCAAACAAAAATACTGATTTGTATGATATTTCTTAATTCAGAAAATGATTTAGTATGTTGCAATAATAATTTAGTATAATTTGGAAGTGGGAGGGGAAATATAATTTTAAAAAGTACTTTAATCTATAAAGTATGAGAATTTTCACTTTCATAAAATATCCACATCTAGATGTCAATTTGCCAGCAATAAATGATGTTTACAGGAAAAATTACTGGGATGATAGAAGGTAAGAATCAATAGCAGAGCAAAACACTTGAGAATAGTGGCTACCACACTAATATTTGAAAAGACAACCAGAGATTCAGTAGGGCTTATATTTGTGTTAAATGTGAGTGGAAGAAGAGAGCCTATCTGGTTAATTATCAAAACAGGTAAGTAATATTTCTGTATAAATGTCAATGTTTTCAGTGTTCACTCTGTTACGCAAGTTCAGATGGTTTAAGCACCAAGTTTCCACATGGTTTCGATAATCACTTTAGTCCAGTCCTGGACTTCTTGAATAGAAGAAAACTATTGATGTTACCAAAACACACAAATATATGTTGAAGTTTAATTCCATTTTCCTTTGCAGAGATTGAACGTGCACTAAACGTAGTCAGCAGACTCACTTTGGTGAAAACATACTAACTTTCTGCAATGTTTGTAAGACATGTGAAAAGAGCAGTTACATCACTAACTGAAATATTCAAACACAGCTAATTTATCTCTGACATTTACACTATACTGTGGTATTGTACTGGATAGAAGACAAAAACTATATAATGAGTTTCCTTTATTGTCGACCCTAATTCTAGAACTACTTTGTGTGGTGATGTGCTTTGTAAATGAGAATGGGAATTATCATTAAGATGGCAGAGACGTCTTCAGAATTATATAATATTACAAATAGACAGGAGGGAATACTGACAGTAGAAATATTTCTTTTGATGCACGTACACTTCGTGGCATGCTTCTTTTATTGAATATTGAAATGTCAGGTTAAATTCTGGATAGCCAATCATATCAAACTACTGCAAATAAGGACTCTTCATCTGTGTCAGAATTTCTGAGAGAAAACAAAAGAGATGTTTTTTTAGAACAAATTTGAGAGAACATTTTGTAATCTGAAGATATGTTTTTAAAAGGATACAAGGATTTTTCCACAACCAGTGAGGCTGTTCTCTAAATTCCCTTTTGGGACATGTGGCTAGTAGATCAACTAGTAGTTGTACTTAAGTTCAATTAAGCTTTTCATTTTTTGTTTTGTTTTTAAATATCAGTGGTCAAATTAGGAAGTGGCCTACATAGACATCAGCAAAACTGAAGAGATAACTGCTGAGAATCTAAAATGGTGCCTCTGTAAGATTGGCCCTCCCCTGGTGTTTTTCCATAATAGTCAAGTGTTTGTGTGTATAAGAATCATTTTAGTGACTGCAGATTATCATTCTGAACTTTGGTTCCCTCCTCTTCTGTAGCCCTCTTTCCCCTCGCCCCCTTCCTGCTTCTCATAGTGCTTTGCATTATTTTAATCAAGGTTTCATCTCCCATAATATTTTTGACATTCCTTTTTCAGGTTCATTCATTCAAACAATGCCTCTTCATCAGATCTTAAAATATTTATTTGTAGCATAATTATTCCTGTGGGCCAGGGGAGGAAAAGGTTATGTCCTGGAAAGCAGTAACTCTGAAAAAGATTTGTGGGTAATGGTGGATAATCAGTTGAACACAAGTTCCTGATGTGATGCTGTGGCCAAAAGAGCTAATGCGATCTTTAGATGCATAAACAGGGGGATCTTGAGTAGGGATAGAGAGGTTATTTTACTTGTGTATTTGGCACTGTATTTGATTTGTAAAAAAAAAAACAAAAATCTACAGATAAGGGAAACAAACTTTTCAGCCTATGTTTCAATAAATGCCGGAAGAATAAATTACAAAAGAAATGTTTGCATATTTTAACTAAATCTGTTTTTTCTTTAACCTGAAGTTTCAGCCCCAGAGTTTACGCCTGTCAGACATGCACAGAAAATCTCAGCTCTGGAGAGGAATAGTCAGTATCACTTTGATAGAGGGATGTGAACTGAAGCCCATGGATGCAAATGGATTGAGTGATCCCTATGTGAAATTCCGGCTGGGCCATCAGAAGTACAAGAGTAAGGTAACTTCTTTTAACTGTGTTCGTACTTAACATTTGGGATCTTCTGCTTGAATGACTATTTTAATACTTCTGGAACTTTGTTGTATTACTGCTTAGGTGTTACAGCTCCTAGAACCTTTGTGTAGTTGTCATTTATTATTACTAAAATTGAGGTAAATATGTGGATGAAGAAAATGAAGCATTGGAAAAAAGTAATTTTTATTTTATTTTTCAATATGCCAAATACAGCAATGTTATGGTAACATGCCCAGGAGTTTACGTTTACTACCAATACTCTCATCTAGGGATTCAGCAAGTGCCGGGCTCTCTCCTGCCCTCATGCAGGGGTTGTTTGTGCCCGTGACGGTGATTTCCGTCTGCATGGGACTTAAGCACCTGCAGATCAAACCAATCTGGTTTGTGTGTTTGGGTTTACTGCAGGAACTGGTCACCCACTTATGACTTCTATCCTTACAGGACACTGACTGCAAGTAATAGCACAATTTTAGTGTTTTTAATTTATTTTTCCTTTCTTTTTTCATTGTTCTAATTAATTGGTCAGATTTCCAGGCTGCTGTGGGGACGGATTACAACTAGGGCTGTCAAGTGATTAAAAAAATAATTATTATTAATTGCAGATTTAATAACACTACAGAATAATAAAAATACCATTATAAATAAATAAATATTTTTGGATGTTTGCTACCTTTTCAAAGATAATGATTTCAATTACAACAGAATACAAAGTATACAGTGCACTTTATTATTTTTTATTACAAATATTTGCCTTGTAAAAAAGATAAACAAAAGAAATAGTATTTCAATTCACCTCATACAAATACTGTAGTGCAATCTCTTCATCATGAAAGTTGAACTTACAAATATAGAATTATTATTTTTACATAACTGCACTCAAAAATAAAACAATGTATAACTTTAGAGCTTACAAGTCCACTCAGTCCTACTTCTTACTCCTCCTTTAGAGGAGTTGTCTTGCCTTATTGAAGAGATAAGATATTTTATCTCAGAAAGTCAGTATTCTGGAGATGGGAAGGGTGAGAGTTGTGCAGGAGAAGGGTGAATTCTTGATGCTGCTCCTATTGGGTTGGATTTCTGGGCTTGCCTGCCTCCTGTCCAAAGAGGAAGAGAGTTTCATCTTAGAGATCTGCATTGAGTGTTTGGAGGGAGTGGGGGAAGGAGAAAGCAATAACTTGTGCAGGAGAAAGGTGAGGGAGGGTTGCTTGCTGCTTCTGGAAGGGTGGTTTCTGGTACTGGGCTCACCTCCTTTTACTGAGCTAGGTGGGCTCCCTTCAGCCGAGCAAGCCCTTGTTTCCAAGGGAAGGTGGATTTTACTTTAGGGATTTGGCATGCAGCGGGGAGGAGAGGCTGGCTTAGGGAGCTGTTCTCTATGAGTACGCCCCCCCGGAGTGAGGGGCCAGCCAGGGGCAATGGGGCACGGCACGGGAGGGATATGGGGGGGGGGGTAGACCGCCAAAGCGAGGGGCTAGCTGGGGGCATTGGGGCACTGCGCAGGGGGTGTGAAAGGGGTTGGTCCTCATAGCAAGGGGCTGGGTGAGGGTAACGGGGCAAGGCATGGGGAAGTGGGAAGGCACAGCCATGAGCACTGTATTTTGTTTGGTTGCCAGGATGGTCAATATGAGCTCTGTGTTGCTTCCCCCCCACCCCCAATATTTCTCTTTTTATCTTTTCAAACTGTTCTTCTCACAAACTCAGACTGTGGGGGACTAGACAGTTTAGAATTATCTAATCAGCTATAGCTTAATAGCTACGTTGTCATTGTTTGCGCCAACAGAGGTCAGAAGACACCATATTTTTTTTTTGGAAAGAACATTGTGTTGAACATGGTTTCAAAGAAACTAATAAAATTTCTTTTCAAACATTTCAGATAAAGTAACATGCAACATATTTTCAGCTTGAAGAATAACAAAATTACTTTTCTGTGTTACATGTCTAAAAAGTAATCTCTTAATGCAACGTTTGCTTTGACCAACCTGGGCAAAACAAAGGCTGACTTAAAGACTAATAACAGAGCAGCCAAAACCACTTTTTCTTCCTTTAGAAAACCCTACAGGGAATATTTTGCCTGTTTTTTTGATCTAGGTACTTTTTTCAAGTACCATTTTTCCATACCTTGCGTTTTTTGTTTGAAACAAACAGCTCGCTCTTGTAGTTCCAAAGTGAATGACGTGATACTGATGGGAAGGGACAATGTGATTATGCTGTATAGTTTTAGAAACTGCCAGTTGTCTTCAGACAATTGTTCCATATTTCACATATTTCCATATTTTTTCTTAGTGTCTTTATTCTGCAAATAAAGTTGGAATGAATGTTCCTTATTTTTACTATGCTGGTATTTGGGCTTGAACCACAATTACTATACGGATGGTGGACTCTTGTCTTATTTTGACCTTTTCACTCCCTAACTCTGATTAACTTTTAAATTATAAGAAATTTTGAAATTATAATACCTATGCATTGTGTTGTCATTAACTTCTTATTTGATACCATAAAGCTCTTCAGATGTCTGAAGGTCTGTTCATAGAATCAGTAGGGTGAAATCAGCTCTCCTGCATCCTCTTGCATCTCCCACAACTTGCCCACCCATCCAGTCCCACATAGAGGCTAGAATTAACAAAGTTAATTGCCATGTGCTTTATACAGAGTTGTGTTGAATGTTACTTATTTTGAATTGTTGGCATCTCTAAGCTGACACATTTTTATATGTACAAACCAAAATGCTGAAACCAAATTTTCACCCACACTTTAATGTTAACTTTTGGATGTTTAATTCTACTAAAAATGATTAAAGAATGCACTTTTTAGTTCTTTCAAAGGTCTGTAAGACTCCTAGTGATAAATCCAGTGGAGTTGTGGCCTTTGTTGAAGTCAGTACACCTCTACCTCGATAGAACGCTGTCCTCGGGAGCCAAAAAATCTTACCGCGTTATAGGTGAAACTGTATTATATCGAACTTGCTTTGATCCACCAGAGTGCGCAGCCCCGCCCCCCTGGAGCACTGTTTTACCACTTTATATCCGAATTCGTGTTATATCGGGTCGCGTTATATTGGGGTAGAGGTGTAGTTGCCCCATAAGGAAGACATTGGGCCAATTTCCACTCCTGCTCAGTATAGAAGTTACTGCTGCTATTAAGCTACGATAGAGGAGATTACTTCTTTTTCTCTAGAGAGGGCTTGGTTTATAAATTATATGCAGGGGTGGCTCTATGGTTTTTGCCGCCACAAGCACGGCAGTCAGGTGGCTTTCAGAGGCACGCCTGCAGGAGGTCCGCCGGTGCCGCGCCTTCAGCGTCCCCGCCGCCGAATTACCGCTGAAGCCGCGGGACCGGCGGACCTCCCGCAGGCATGCCGCCGAAGGCAGCTTGACGGCTGCCCTCACACCAACCGGCAGGCCGCCCCCCACAGCTTGCCAGCCCAGGCACGTGCTTGCTGCGCTGGTGCTGGGAGCCGCCCCTGATTATGTGTTTCTTCTTTGAGTAGCATCCCTCTGGGCCCAATGCACATGTGCTTTTGATCTGAGATTTTCAGTAACAGAGCCCATTCAGTTCACACATCCACTTTAGACATCCTCATACCTTGGACTGAGGATGTCTAGAGCGGATGTGTGAGCTTCACGGACAGACCACCCTCAGTTCCTTCTCAACTGCCTGGTGGCCTGAGACTGAACCTTTATTTTACCTGGTCCCAATTTTTTTTCCTGGAGTTCACCTTTACTGTAACTTAGTATAGTTTAGTTTAGTCTAGTCTAGTAATTTATTTGTCATTATTAGTTGAATGAGCCCCCCTTCTATTTCTGTTGGTTTTTTCCATTTAACACCTTCTTCCCTCCTTTTTTTTTTTTTTTTTTGAGGGGCATCTATCAGGGGTTATCACTTGTTATGCTAAGTTCCCCAGGCTTCAAGCACTGCCTTTCCAGCTGGGGTCCACCCCGGTTAGCAAAGGTGGTTCTCTATGCCCGCACTGTTTAGGGGACACCTATATACTATCCAAGTGTAAGATCTGTACTACTTTTAATAGCAGATCTGGAAATGGAAACAGAGAAATTGAATTTTGGCTTCTTATGATAGAGGAAGCCCTGATACCAGCTTCAGACCTGGGTTTGGAGGACCCTCTTGTACACCAGTCTTCAAGTGCACTTAGTGCCCCGTCAACCTCTGTATCAAAGTGACAGAGACGTTCGCAGTATAAGAATGAAGGTACCAACAAGACTCCATGGAAGAGAAGTCCTGAGTCTCCCACCAGAGATTTTTCTTTGAAGAAATCTCAGTCACCCCAGGAGACCTCAGGTCCTGGAATAGGTACTATTGAGGCTCCTAGCAGTTCTGGTACCAGGAGCTCATCAAGGCTTTGAGTTCTTCTGACAACCATGGTACCAAGCATGCTTCAGTACCAATGAAACATGATCTGAGCAGAAAGCCCAAGAAATCTGCTTCTTAGAAACCAGTACCATCTGCAGACCCCAAACATTCTGACTCTAGAAGGCTGATAACATCCATCTTCGTACCCAAACTGGTATCCCAGTCTGCTACACCAATGCACCAGAAGATGTCAGAATCTTTGGTATTGTCACCATCTGTTAGACACGCACCTCCAAAACAATCAGCACCCTCAGATTGAGACAGACACCAGCGAAGCAATCAACATTATTATTGACCATGGCTGTTGTGGAGCCTCACTTAATCTCAGCTCAGATACATTCAGCACCACAAGAATTCAGATTCTCCAGGGGTCTTTTTGTTTCTAAAGAACTGGAGTCCCCATTGCTAATGGGTACCAAGCACTTGTCAACAGTGTTCTTTCTAATTTTTCCCGTGCATGTGCAGAGTGAATTCTGTTATGTGCACCAATATGGAGGAGATGTGTAACACAATTCATGTGGTGGGGGTGGAGCCGGGGGGTTCAGAGTTTAGGAGTGGGGCTCAGGGCTGCGGCGGAGGGTTGGGATGTGGGTGGGGGTGAGGGCTCCAGCTGGTGGTGCGGG